GGGTTTGATCCTTGGCATCACATGCCCTGCCCCCATGCCTTGAAGCCAGAGCTGGGAGTAACCCCCAGAACTACCTGTTTCCCTCCCTACATCCCCCCATGCTCCCCAAAAATTTGAAGGAGAAGGAGCACTTATCCATGAGGCTGGGCCGAGGCTCAGAGGATGGGAGCATAGGCTTGGCATGCAATTGCCCCAGGGTTGATGCAAGTGCCTTATTTTCCTCCAAGTACCACCAGGAAGGGGCCCCTGAGCACTGTCAAGTGTGCACCCCCACACACCACCCCCACCCCCACCCCAAATAATACTGAAGTGGAAATTTGGAGCAGGACCCCTGAGTGACTCATTCTCGGAGCGGAACAAAAGATGAATCAATGGTCAATCAGGAAGTTGCGAGAACAGAGCGAATGGACAAGTCTGGTCAGGACTCGGGGGCAGGAAGTGGGCGGTGGAGACAAGAAGTGCCCATATGTGTGGCCCTTGAAACAAGTTGTTTGAATCACTGATTGCAGCAGCCATTGTATATGTCAGCTGCCACTCTCTGTGTTAAAGGGAAAACGCCAGCCCACCCCCTTCCCCAAAGCAACGGAGCTGTGACTAATGTAGACAAACTCACAACGGGCCTGGAATGATAGCACAGTGGGGAGGGCATTTGCCTTGCACGCGGCCGACCCGGGTTCGATTCCCAGCATCCCATATGCTCCCCCGAGCACCGCCAGGAGTAATTCCTGAGTGCAGAGCCAGGAGGAACCCCTGTGCATCACCCAACGGCCAGGAGCCTGCCGCCAAACTAAATGGGGCCTCCCCCAATTTCTGCAGAAACACCAGTTTCTTGGCCACATTTCTGTGCTATGGGCTGGAGCGATAGCACAGCGGAAAGGGCACGTGCGTGGCCCGTGGACAACCTGGGTTCGATCCCTGGCGCCCCATCGAGTCCCCTGAGCCTGCCAGGAGCATCACTGGGTGTGGTACAAAAAGCAAAAACAGCTTTCTATAATAATACAAAGAAGGGAAAAAGAAATACTAAGGTGGACAGCGGGACAAGGGCCTTGCCTAGGAATGGGGATGACGAAGTCCCCGCTCACAAATCCAGGTTCTCTGACTTCCAGGCTCCCCTTCTGCTCTGCACTTCCATGCCTGCTCCCCAGATAAACCTGGATTCACCCCAGCCAGACCCCATCAGACATTGGCAGTCTGGCGTATGTCCCAGCCGGCAACTCTCACAAAACGCCACCTGAAGAGATGTCAGGCTTTTGATTCCCCAAAGGGCCACAGCTCTCCACTCTTCTGGGACTTGCTGGTCCTCGCCAGAAGGGCTGGACACAAGGCTGCTCCCCATTCACTGTGGGGGACATGCCGGGGCTGCTGAGCACGGGGACCGGGTGGGCAGCACAGGCCAGGGCGGGCGCTGGACTGGCCCCAGGCCAGGGTCTCGCGCGGACTCTGTGTCCACTACCAGGCCCGCCGTCCGCCCCGGCGGGAGGGATCGGAGGTCGAGTCCTGCAAACCGTGAGCTGCTCAGAGCAAGGGTCGGGACCCGAGCAGCTTAGCAATACGTATCTCGGGGCCCCAGGGTGCCGCCGGCCGCTGCCCAACACTCCAGCGATCCAGCCCCAAGTCCTATGCCTTGCACTAGTGCAGACCCTTCCATGCATCATTTGATTCTCACACCCTCCGCTACCACCCCCTCGGGGGGGACCCTTGTTTCCTCCCGCTTTTAGGAAGCACAGAAGAGCACCCTAGCAAAGGTGGGGTTTCTAGCTCAAAGCAGACCCCTCCTGCTCCGGCACACCCCATTCATGTCCCCCTTAAGTGCCCAACTTTGATCTCTGTAGAAAATGACCTTGTTTGGGGCTGGAGCGATAACACAGTGAGTAGAGCATTTGCCTGGCACGTGACCAACCCAGGTTCAATTCCCAGCATTCCACAGGGTCCCCTGAACACCATCAGGAGTAATTCCTGAGTGCAAAGCCAGGAGTGACCCCTGAGCATCACTGGGTGTGACCCAAAAAAGAAAAACAAAATGAACTTGTTTGGGCCAGAGTGCTCCCTGAGCACAGAACCAGGAGGAAGCCCTGAGCATCATCAAAATCATTCCCAAAAGGAGGCCACTCATGCAAGGCCACACAGCAGTTCTCAAGGGACTCTACAGTAATGGGGGATCAAATCGGGGTCTCAAGCATGACAAGCCTATGCTCCAGCCTAGAGCCAGCTTCCTGGCTCCTGACGGAAGTGCTTTGGAGGACACACCTGGGAGATGGGTTGAGAGGCCGCAAGGCATCCCAGGGAGAGTGTGGCCAGAGAAAAGCTAGTACAGAGAAGTCTGGACTTGCTCATGGTCATCCTGGATTTGACCCCCAGCACCCCAAGTGTTCCTCTGAGCCGCACCAGGAGTGAGCCCATGTGCAGGGCCAGGAATAAGCTTCCATCACAGCCAGATCTAGCACCCCTCGCCACCGAAAGAAAGAAAAGAAAGAAAGAAAGAAAGAAAGAAAGAAAGAAAGAAAGAAAGAGGGCTGGAGAGATGGTACAGTGGGGAGGGCTCTTGCTTTGCACATAGCTGACAGAAACGATCTCTGAGCACCGAGCCAAGAGTAAGCCCTGAGCAATGATGGGTGTGTCCAAAAAACAGAAAGAAATGAAGAAAGAAAAAAGGAAGATAAATTCTTATAACCATGTGAAGTGACAGCTGTTATTATGATCATTTTGCAAGGTACACAAATATTGACTCATTATGTTGTACCCCTGAAACTAATCTAATGTCATGTGTCAGTGATACCTGTTTTTTTTTTTAAATTAGGAAAACTGGAAGATGAACAGATTGAGAATTTATAGAGACAGATGATGCTATTAACATTTTCATTTAACAGATGAGTAAGCAGGTTTAAAGCAATCAAATAGCCATTCCAAGTTCATCCGACTGGTAAGAGGACTTTTCACACATACTTATTTCCGCTTTCCCAGTACCCACAACTTATCATCTCCAATTTACAGGTGGGGAAACTGAGGCCCAGAGATGGGCAGGCTTTCCAGCTGAAAGTAGCAGAGCAAAAAGTAGATATTAGAGCAGATACATTTTCACCTGTGAGGGAGATTGATATTAGAAACCCAGAACAGGCAGAAAAGGAGGAATGTGAAAGAAAGGTGAGAGGGTTTATGCCTAGCTGGATTCACGGTGTGCACACAGCACAGCCCTGGTGGCCCCAGACCATCAATGCTGGAGACCCCTGGAACTGTCTCTAATGTAGGCAGGTAGATAGGGAAAGGCTCTCTGCAATGAAACAAAGTCTCATAGAAGAATTCTAGGACCAACCCACCCTGTGGAGACAGAGAATAAGGACTTGATAAGACCATCCCCAGACCCTGAAGATATGGGCCTCCTCCCCATGAAATTCCTCCTTTCCGAGAACCCCCCTTTCAATCCGGTTGACTCCAGTGACCCAGCCCCAAGGAGATTCCAGGACATTCCAAGTCAGATGATTCTCGAACCCCCTTTCAATCCGGTTGACTCCAGCGATCCAGCCCCAAGGAGATTCCAGAACATTCTGAGTCATAAGGATCTATAAGAACCAGCTCGAGAGGCCACTTGGCGCTCTCTCCACCCTCGGAGAAGCCCGCGTTCCCTCTGGACGCGTTTCTCTCTCTCTCTCTCTCTCTCTCTCTCTCTCTCTCTCTCTCTCTCTCTCTTACTGTCCATTCCCCCCGCTTATCTGCTTATCCCTTTCTCTCCCTCTCCAAAAGCCTCCAAATAAAACCTGTTACTTCACTGCTCGTCTACTCCTGAAATTCTTTTCTGCGAGCGAGACAAGAACCCCAGAAACCTCGGGTAAGGCTTGGGACTGGTCTCTCCTTTCCTGTAAAGAGCAAATTCTCGCCCCAGCTTGAGTCCGTGGCTCCCCCGAGCAATCGGGTGGCGGGGATTAACTCCCGAGCCGAGAAGATCAAGCGGACTTCAGGTGTGGCTTGACGGCCACCTTGTGGGGCTGGTGGGGCTTAGGCCGAGCAGGTGCTCACTGCAGACTTTACCAGTCCTAGCCTACCCAGGGTTCCAGGTGGCAGAGGTGGGTGGGGAGAAAGTGGCCGTCTTTCTCCTCCCCACTTCACGTAAGTCACCCGTGGGGCCCACCGACATCATCTCCACCCCCCACCACCCTCACCCCCACTTCATCCTCCCCTCCCAAAACAAATTCTCAGATTCCTTCAATAGTTTAAATTTTTCTAATAAGATCCCAAGACAACTCCGTGGGCCGAGAGTCCTAGAATAATCTTGCCCAGGGAACGGAAGTGCCTCCAGAGTCACCACTTCCGAATCACAATTGCTACTTAAAATTCAGAACCCCTGGGCTCTGGCTTGGCACCCACCACGAATAACAACCACCCGGGGGGCACAGGACCCGCAGTGCCCATTCTGCAAGGCAGAGCTCTGAAACCCTGGCCGGGCGATCAAGTTTGGAACTGTGCAAGTGCGCCGAGGAGCCTGGCGCCACCCGCTAAACGACACCTAGGGTCCTCAGTTTCCAAAATTGTAAAAAAAACGAGGTGACAAGAGGGTAAAAAACCCGCGACCCCGCCCCTTGCGGAGCCGCCAACCACGTGAGAAATTTTAAAAAAAGAGGCCGCGGTGCATTGTGGGATACAGAGGGGCCGAAGCGTCCGCGGTGCATTGTGGGATACAGAGGGGCCCGGAGCGTCCCGCGAGACATTATGGGATAACAGAGGGGCCGGGTACGGCGGGTCGCCACGTCTCATTAACCCCGGAAGCCTTCTCTGATCGACGCCGGATACGCCCGTGACGTCAGCGTGACCGCCTGCGCCTGGACTCCTCCGAGGCGCCGGAGAATACGGCGCGCAGAGCAATGACGCACTTCCGGGCGCTGCCTTCGCTTTACGGCTGGCGCGTCCTGCCACCCAACCCAGGGGAAATAGGAGCGCGGTTTACGACAGCGCCGGCCGCGTTTTGCGGCGCCGGCCGATGCGCGCGCATCCCTGCCCGCTCCTTTTTTTTTTTTCCTCCCCCTTACCCGGCTCGTCGCCTTACTGTGGAGTGTCGCGCTCTTTGCCCGGGACCATCTGTCGCCATCCGGGCCCGCGGTGGCCACTACAGGTGAGCGGGCGTGTTCCGCAAGGTCCCGCGGGCCTCCGGAGCCGGTTCGTACGGAGCCCGGCCTCCGGGGGCTGCCCGGAAGAGACCTGGCCCGTCCCCTCCCGGCCGCGCTGTCCCCTCCGCAGGGCGCGGCGGGAGACCGCCCTGCAGCCCGGGTGTTGGGCAGCGGCCGGCGGCACCCTGGGGCCCCGAGATACGTATTGCTAAGCTGCTCGGGTCCCGACCCTTGCTCTGAGCAGCTCATGGTTTGCAGGACTCGACCTCCGATCCCTCCCGCCGGGGCGGACGGCGGGCCTGGTAGTGGACACAGAGTCCGCGCGAGACCCTGGCCTGGGGCCAGTCCAGCGCCCGCCCTGGCCCGTGCTGCCCACCCGTTCCCCGTGCTCAGCAGCCCCGGCATGACCCCCACAGTGAATGGGTCGGTGTCCTCGACCGCCACTGCCCTGCCGACTCTCGCCCCCTGGACAGCTGCCTCGAGGGGGCTCTGCCCTCCCAACCTGATGGACGGAGGTTTCTTAAACCGCGCGTTGAGAAACTCACCCTGCGTAACGCGGGGTGGAGGGTCTGCAATTTCTGATCCCTCTAATATGATGGAAAGAATGGTGGATATAGTGGCAGGTGACACTGCGAGCCCTCTCGGATTTTCTTTTAGAAAAAAAAATAAGTAATTAGTAGACACATTGCTCCGCTTGGCAGGGCTACGAATTTCGGGCTTGAGGATTTGACTGTCGGGGTGTTGGCTGGCCCACCTGGGTCCCATCCCCACTGCCTGGCATGTTGGTCCTTCAAAGCCCAGCCCCAAGTAAGCCCTGAGCAATTGCTGGAGGTGACCAAACCCCAAGAAGAGGGAGGGAACTTATAAAATAAGGGGGGGGGAGGGGGGAATACCTTGGTGTTAAGTGACCTGCTGTTGTGGAATGTGGGGACCCCCTCCCCCCTCGCTAAGCCCCGTTTCCAATGCTAAGCAGACTCCTGGACTCATCCTGGAGTGGGGGTATTCTGCTGGAACTCCGGAGCATTTTCTGAGGATTCCAGCAGATGCCAGTGGGCAGGCTCTTGATAGGAGCCCCTGATGGGTGTTGCCCTCCTGGGTCAGGCTCCCTGCCTTGCTGCTCTGGGCAGTATCTGGAGAGTGGTGGTGATGGCAACCCTGGCTTCTGGAGGGTTGGAAGCGGGTGATGAGTTGATGGATGGGAAGCTCTGTGGATAAGGCTTCATTTGTGTGTTGAAGAATATTTGATGTTTGGGGGGGCCTCTTACCCAGCAATGGCCTGGATGGTTCAGTACTCAAGGGCCATGCCCCGTGGTGTGAGGTTAGGGGTCGAGTGTATGGGCCAGGAAGGGAGCTTGGGTCTCCCCCCGCCCAGACAGTGGTTCTCTGGACCGAAGCAAAAACACAGCAGGTAGGGCATTTGCCTGGCACACAGCTGACCCGGATTCAATCCCTGGCATCCCATATGGTCCCCCAAGCACCGCCAGGAGTAATTCCCGAGTGCAAAACCAGGAGCATAACCCTGAGCATCGCTGGATGTGACCCAAAAAAACAGACAGTGGTTCTCCCCTGGTCACAGAGCCATTTTCCCTGGCCCTGCACCCACTTGCGTGAGCTCGGATGCTTCTGGCAGGCCACTGATTTGTCCACCGGCTCTTTGCAAAGGATTTTTACAGATAATTGGAAGAATCTAAAGGGAAAGTCAATTTTCAGAAAATAACATGTAGTACCAACTCGTTCAGGGTAAATGTATTTTTTCCCACACCTGTTAGTTTTTCCTGGCTCTGCACTCAGGAATTGCTCCTGGCAGTGCTCAGGGGGCCGTATGAGATGCCAGGGATTGAACCCCAGGTCCACCAAGGCAAGTATCCTACCCGCTATGCTGTTGTTCCGGCCCAGGCTAAATGTATTTCTGCAGAGCTTGGCGGTAACTGGGCCTTTTACAATGAGTATTTTTATGGTTTTCGCAGTGTACTCCTGAAATGAGTGAGGTGAGAATCTTGTTTATTTTCTTTTTTTTTTTCTTTTGGGTCATACCCAGCAGTGCACAGGAGTTACTCCTGGCTTTGCACTCAGGAATTACTCCTGGCGGTGCTCAGGGGACCATATGGGATGCTGGGAATTGAACCCAGGTCGGCCGTGCAAGGCAAATGATCTACCCGCTGTACTATCGCTCCAGCCTCTCTTGTTCATTTTATAAGCTGACCGAGACAAGGAAAGTGAAGTGTTGTGTGCCTTAGTAAAGGTTTCTAAGGAGGGGGAATGGTTATTGCACTTGCCAAAAAGGTTACTATGTTTTCGGCAAGTCTCTAAATCACTTGTGAAATGCAACAACAATGAATTGGTTAGTGAGATGGTGGTGAGGTCTGGGCGATGTAAGTGTTAGTCTGAATTAGTTACACACAACTTGGAAGCCTCCTGTTCTGTGAGGTGCTTTTGGGATTTGATCATGATCGTCTTTACTCCCCTCGGGCGATGCCTTTCCCTGAGCAGCCCCTTGACTCCTTTCCCTTTCAAAGGTTGTAGAAGATGGCCAAGTTCATGACCCCCGTGATCCAGGACAACCCCTCGGGCTGGGGCCCCTGTGCGGTCCCCGAGCAGTTCCGGGACATGCCCTACCAGCCCTTCAGCAAAGGAGACCGCCTGGGAAAGGTAGGTGGTGCCCTTCGGGAGTCACTCGCCATCCGCTGTGCTCGGAGCCCCTGTCACCTGCGCTCTCCTACGCTCGTGTCCTGTGTTTCTTCTGGGGACACCAGCTGGGGGAGGTGACGGCCTCTGGGCCCTTCCAGCTATGACTGGGGGGCTGGCGCTGCTCTTCCCGCCGCGGCCTTGCGTTCTGGGATGGCTGGGCCCGCAGAACCGTTCCTGGCTCACCCGTGCACACTGTCTTCCCTCCCTGCTCTTCCAGGTGGCCGACTGGACGGGGGCCACCTACCAGGACAAGAGGTACACAAGTAAGTGTCCTGCGTCCAGCTGGGCAGCCTGAGTCTGGGGTTGTCGCTCATTCAGACTACTGTGGGGGAGCTTGGGGTGGCGCGGGGGGAGTGGCGTGAACCCACTGATGTGGTTAATTGGACAGAGTCTGGATGGTGGACACAGACCCCGGTGATTTTGTTTTGGGGGTTTGGGCCTGTGCCCAGTGGTGCTCGGGCTACTCCCACGACGAGGTTCAAGAGTGTTGCCAGCGGTGCTTAGAGCACTGGGCAATGCCAGGGCCCCGGTGTTCAAAGCACGTGCCCTGCACCAGCCCTTTCTGAGTGGTTTTTGTTTGGTTTGGCTTTGGTTTTTTGTTTGGTTTGCTTTTTGGGTCACACCCAATGATGCTCAGGGGTTACTCCTGGTTCATACACTCAGGAATCGCTCCTGGTGGTGCTTGGGGGACCCTATGAGATGCTGGGAGTCGAACCCGAGTCAGCTGAGTGCAAGGCAAACGCCCTACCCCCTGCCCTTAAGAAGAGTTGTACTGCGAGGGGGTCCCGTTGAACATACACGGCACCCCCACGCCATGCTCCATCCGTGGGAATTGACTGACTCCCCAGTCAAACCTAAGACTCTGGGTTTTAAGATCTGATACTGTGGGCTGAAACGATTGCACAGCGGGTAGGGCATTTGCTTTGCACACGACTGACCCGGGTTTGATTCCTCCGTCCCTCTCAGAGAGCCCAGCAAGCTGCCGAGAGTATCCTGCCCACACGGCAGAGTCTGGCAAGCTCCCCCTGGTATATTCAGTATGCCAAAAACAGTAACAAGTGTCACAATGGAGACGTTACTGGTGTCCGCTCGAGTAACGATGAACAAATCAATGAACAACAGGACCACAGTGATACTGTGGAGGAAACTTTCCTTCTTCCGGTTGATGTCGTTGGGCCGTAAGTTAAACTGGCCATGGCTGAGCTCAGAAAGAGGCCTGTGAGCTGTCCCAGGGGCCAGGCTGCCTAGGGCGCCCAGTGCTGGCCACGAGGCATGGTAGGCCCTGGCTGGGTTCAGTCACCAGGCGAGCTTGTCAGCGCCAGCCCTGATTGAGTGTCTGGGCTGAGTTGGTCCGTCTGCCTGTATATTAGAAGCTCAGGGCCCGCGCTCAGGGTTCTAAGACACACATCAGCCCCGCGTGCATTTGCGTGATCCGTGGGTGGTCCTTGTTCCAACCCGCTGTCCCCTCTGTCCAGATAAGTACTCATCTCAGTTTGGTGGTGGGAGCCAGTACGCCTATTTCCACGAGGAAGATGAGACGAGCTTCCAGCTGGTGGACACGGCACGCACCCAGAAGACAGCCTACCAGAGGAACCGCATGCGCTTTGCCCAGGTCAGTCCCAGTTGCCCCCTGCAGAGGCCTGGCAGCTCATGTCACTTGCTGCCGGTTCCAGAGGTGCCTTTAAATGGCCCCCGTTCCTCCTGACCAGTGTTTGGGGCCCCACACTCGGGCTGAGAAGGTCTGCACTGGGTGAGATGGCACATTTGTGCCTGCTACCTCTTTTTTTTTTTTTTTTTTTTTTTGCTTTTGCGTTTGCTTTTGCTTTTGCTTTTTGGGTCACACCTGGCGATGCACAGGGGTTCCTCCTGGCTCTGCACTCAGGAATTACTCCTGGCGGTGCTCAGGGGACCATATGGGATGCTGGGAATCGAACTCCGGTCGGCCGGGTGCAAGGCAAATGCCCTACCCGCTGTGCTATCTCTTCAGCCCCGCTACCTCTTTTTTTGATGTTGGGAGGTGGGGGTGACGTCCAGCGATGCTCGGGGTTTCCTCCTGGCTCTGCACTCAAGAATTACTCCTGGCGGTGCCTAGTGGGATGCCAGGGATCGAACCCGGGTCGGTTGCATGCAGGGCAAACACCCTCCTCGCTGTACTGTCACTCCGGCCCCCCTGTTACCTCCTTTGATGGCTGCGTGGGTGCTGGTTTTATGAAGTAGCTGGTCCAGTTGAGCCGCCTCGGACTAATAAGAGACAAACTCTGCGACTCTGGCGAGAGCTGGTCAGCTCACGTGAGCAGGACGGCTGATGGGTGTACGGCCCTGTGCTGTGTCCCGGTGCTCACGCCACTCACAGCCCATACGTGGTGCCGCTCATTGTGCGTTCTCGACCCTGCAGCCTGAACGCGCCCCAGAGTTTCCTGCCAAGCACCGCCGGTGCTCCGGCAGCCCGCCCCGCCCCTAACCTGGGTGCTTTTCTCCCAACCCCCAGAGGAACCTCCGTAGGGACAAAGACCGCCGCAATATGTTGCAGTTCAATCTGCAGACCCTGCCGAAGAGCGCCAAGCAGAAGGAGAGGTGAGGTGGGGGGCAGCAGGGGCTCCGCCCAGTTCTGTGTCAGTGAGGGTGCCAGTTGGGGAGGGGGGCTGCGGCATCGAACAAACCCTGCCCAGACCCACTGAGTCTGAGGGGACCGGTCCCGGGCACAAGGCACTGAGGTTCCTGCCGTGGCAAAGAGCAGCTGGGCGCCTCCTTGGCTGCAACTTTGGTCCCAGTTCATTGTCCGTGGCCAGTAGCTGGCAGTCAGTGTGGGCAGGAAGCAGTGGATAGTCACATTAAAAGGAAACAGGCAGACAAGGTGATCTCTCCCATGACCCCCAATTCCCTGAGCATTGCTGGGGAGGGTTGAGGCCCAAAACCCCCCACCCCAATCCCCCAATAAAAGGAAGATGCTCTACGGCTCCTAGAGGCTCAGTATTGCTGCTGTACAGCCTCTGCCTGGTCGGTACTGGGTGACAATCCGCTTCTAGTAGCAGGGCCCAGGGTCCACCCATCTGGTTGGTTTGTGCCAACACCTGTTCTCCGTTGTTCAGAGAAGCCCACTATGATGATGATGATGATGATATTAGAAAAGGGGCAGCTTTGGGCACGGGCTTCAGGTCTGCCCTGGATGCATGCTTTCTTCCTTTCCAGAGAGCGCATCCGGCTGCAGAAGAAATTCCAGAAGCAATTTGGCGTGAGGCAGAAATGGGACCAGAAGTCACAGGTACCAGCTGCGTCTGTCGGGGGATTGGTTTGGTTCTGCTGGGTTGGTTTTCCTGATTGGTTTTCTGAGCGGATGCTTTGCTCACTGTCTAGTTTGCCCATTTAAAGTGTGGTCAGCATTACACGGCCGTGACCACGGACTCTGAGCTTCACGTCACCCCTGACCCTCGGCTCCCTGTCATCTGTTCTATCCCTGGCTTCGCCTGTTCTAGACTTTTCCTGTGTGTGGAGTCACGGGCATCTTGTGATCGTTTGTCCCGCCTTCAGGGCATGCAGGGTTGAAGTGGGAGGGAGGGGAGTGCCCATCCGTGTGGGATCAGGGATCACTGCTACATTCTGCTCCGGCGGACTGCGGAACTGCGGACCCCATGGAGTGTCTGGGCCGAGATCTCTCCTCTGCTCCCAGTGACCGGGGACTTGTTGGCAGGAGATGGTGTGGCTGTAGGGAGGGCACATTGTGGGGGCTCAGTTGAGCTCCCAGAGAAGCAGCTGAGAGAATGAGGGGCTCTGGCGGGGGGCGAGGGGGTGGGGCTGCTTCAGAGTCGGGGCCTGGCTTGGAAACCACCTGCACTCAGGCAGCATCCGGCACCAGTGACCGCTCTTCCCACGGGTTCTGCCTCCACTGGGTGGCTGCCACCCACTTTCTGCCTCCGCTGGGTGACCGCCGCCCTCTTTCTCTCCGCCCCAGAAACCCCGGGACTCTTCGGTGGAAGTCCGCAGTGACTGGGAGGTGAAGGAGGAGATGGACTTCCCGCAGCTGATGAAGATGCGCTACCTGGAGGTGTCCGAGCCACAGGACATGTGAGTGGCCCCGGCCCCGTGCAGGGCTGCCCACCTGGGGCGTGGTCTTACCACAGCCCGTGGGTTTCCAAGAAGAACCCGGGGCCTCTCGGTCAGAACACTGAGCATAAGATTTAGTCATGTTAGAAAGTCTTGGCCCAGGGGCTGGAGCGATAGCACAGCGGGTAGGGCGTTTGCCTTGCACGCAGTGGACCCAGGTTCGATTCCCGGCATCCCATATGGTCTGCTTAGCACTTCCAGGAGTAATTCCTGAGTGTAAAGCCAGGAGTAACCCTGTGTGTCGCTGGGTGTGACCCAAAAAGCCAAAAGAAAGTCAAGGCCCAGAGAGAAAGCAGTGGCCTGCTGGGAGCAAAGTTAGACTTCTCCGACTGCCTAGCCCCGCCAGCCACAAAGGGAATTTAGTTCCACCATCTGTGGTCTAAAGCGGGAAAAGAGCAAAAGGAAATTTGCTGATAGGAAATCTCCGGTTTCCTTTGGCTTCCTTGAGTCTGAGACTCAGAAGCTTCAGTTCGGTGACGCTCCTGCAGAAAGGGACCGAGGACAGCATTGGATTGGGAGCAGCAGGGCTTTCCACACTGTCCCCAACACTTCAGGGCACATGGAAATGACTTCTACGGGAACCGGAAGTCAGCCCATAGGGCGCCTTCGGGAGGGGGGTGGCCACTGGGCTCCTGCTACTTTGTCTCGCTGCTGGGAGCCGGGGGTGGGGGGACCCGTCGGCAGGAGGCAGTGATGCGCCTTTTTCCCACCCGCCCCAGCGAGTGCTGCGGGGCCCTGGAGTACTACGACAAGGCCTTCGACCGCATCACCACGCGGAGTGAGAAGCCGCTGCGTAGCATTAAGCGCATCTTCCACACGGTCACCACCACGGACGACCCCGTCATCCGCAAGGTGCGCCCCGGGGCCGCCCGGTGAACTATGAGCAACGGGTCCCGGGGTGGGGGCGAATGGCCTCACCCTCTCCTGTCTCGCAGCTGGCCAAGACGCAGGGGAACGTGTTCGCCACGGACGCCATCCTGGCCACGCTGATGAGCTGCACCCGCTCCGTGTACTCGTGGGACATCGTGGTGCAGAGGGTCGGCTCCAAGCTCTTCTTTGACAAGCGGGACAACTCAGACTTCGGTGAGAGAAGCCGTGGCGCCCCCCACTGGCCCACGGGGGGCTCCCTGGACTGTTGCAACTTCTGTTTCTCTCTCCAACCTTGATTTCCTCTTCCTGCCGTTTTCCTTTCCACTTCGGCATGTGGGTGAAGGGGAAACAGGCGGGTGTCTCCCTCGGTGTGTCCTTACGCACAGGAGCAGCTGTGGAGAATGTGCGAGACTGGCCTTGCACGCTGCCGACCCTGCTCCGACCCTCGGCACACAGGGTCCCGCTGAGCAGTGAGGGGCTGGCCTAGGTCATCTTCAGCCCCATGGGCTGGAGGGTGCTCACACTGGCTCACAGTTACTAGGAAGGAGCCCCTTCGCGGCCCCCCCCCCCATCACAACATGTGAGCAGCCCCACCCACACCCTCAAAAGTACCAGTGAAAGCGGAACAACATGAGGTTCTTGTCTGGGGGTTTTTCCTTCCAGTCTAACAGAACGGAACATGTCTTAAATCCACCGGGGCGGGGGTGGGGGGGGGGGTGGCTGGAGCAGTAGCACAGCAGGTAGGGCGTTTGCCTTGCACGTAGCCGACCTAGGACCCAGGTTCGATTTGCAGCATCCCATATGGTCCCGTGAGCACCGCCAGGGAACCCCTGTGCATCGGCAGGTGTGACACAAAAAGCACACACACAAAAAAAGTTAAAAATCCACATGGGGAAGGGCAGCTTTCTCGCCAGGGTGGTCAGATCTAAAGGAAGAGGCGTGGGGGCCCGAGCGATAGTGCAGCGGGGACAGCGTCTGCCTTGCGTGTGTCCGACCCAGCTTCAGTCCACAGCATCCCATACGGTCCTTACAGAGCCAGGAGTAATTGCCAGGTGTGACCCAAACACACACACAAGCAGGAGAGACTTGGGCATTTTGGGGGAGCTCCCTGGTATCCGCTGAAACAGTGGCTAACGTGCCACCATGCTGCCCCTTTTGCAGACCTCCTGACCGTCAGTGAGACGGCCAACGAGCCCCCGCAGGACGAAGGGAATTCCTTCAACTCGCCCCGCAACCTGGCCATGGAGGCCACCTACATCAACCACAACTTCTCCCAGCAGTGCTTGCGGATGGTAAGGCGGGGGTGTTGCCGCTTGGACCCAGCCAGGTGGCACCACAAGCATGTCTGGAGGGTGACAGTGGGTGCAGGAAGGGTCCATCGTAGACAGAGGTGAAGATCGCTTCCTCCTGACAGAAACACAAGCAGCTGGGCCGGGGTCGTGAGCCGAATCTCACTCCTGCCCTCGCAGGCCAGGTCCCAGACTGGGGCAGGGTGGGGAGTCGGCCTCTGCCGGAGGGGTGACACTAAGTGGGGCACACCAGGGCGGGAGGCGAGGTGCCCGTGGCTTCTCACTACCGTGAGATGTTCGAGAAGCGTAGCTCGTGTTTCTGGGGTGCTGGCAACCCGGCGGGAAGCAGAGCTGTGCATCTGGTGACAGGCTGGTCCTTTGTCCTTTTTCAGGGGAAGGAAAGGTACAACTTCCCCAACCCAAACCCGTTTGTGGAGGATGACATGGACAAGAACGAAATCGCTTCGGTCGCCTACCGGTGCGTCCCCACCGCCGCCTGCCTGCGCTGTCTCCCAGGCGTCCGGCCACCGTGCCCGGAGTCCGGGGTGGCGGCTGACGGGCGTCTCTCTGCTCCCCCAGGTATCGCAGGTGGAAGCTGGGCGACGACATTGACCTGATCGTGCGCTGCGAGCACGACGGCGTCATGACCGGGGCCAACGGGGAGGTGTCCTTCATCAACATCAAGACCCTCAACGAGTGGGACTCCAGGGTAGGTGCCCGGGACCCCCAAGGGCCCTGCAGATGGTCGCTTGCGCTGGGTTTCCGGTAAAGCCACACTTTTTTGTGCAGATGCCCCCCGCCTCCCGTCAGGCCTGCCCCTGACCTGTGCTCCCCTCCTCTCCCCTCCCTCCCTCCCTAACTCAGCCATGCGAGATCCTGCAGGCTGGGCTGTCTGTGTGCTTCACCCGCTTGCTCTTCGCTTCTGGTTCTCCTCTGCGTGTACCAGGCTGACTCCCCCTCCAGTGCTCCTTTTCTCTGGAGGTGACTCCTCAGGGAAAGCCGAGCCTAGGTGGACCCTGGGCCACACAGGAGGCTGGTACGGAGTTGGAGGGGTCACTGCACCCCATCTTTCTGAGAGCCAGGTCTCACCCAGCCCTGGCACCCGTCCTCCTTGCACTTATGTCCTCTGACCTCTGCTGTGCCTGGGTTTGTGAGGCCATCGTGCGGCCTGGGTCAGGGCCTGGATCCCACCTGGAAAGGCCCCTACCTGAAGGGTCTGCAGTCACTGCCCCTTCCACAGGGGCGAGGGGGTGAGGGTTACCCTACCTAGGGTCCTGTCTTCCCTGAGTTCTTGGGTGCCAGGAACAGGCCCCAAGACTTCTGTGCCTCGTGGAGTCCCAGCCCTCCCCGCCCAACTGCATCCGGAGACACCCCCCCCCCCCCCCACCCACCACCCCTCCCCCCCGTTACTTCCCGTCTCCCACACGTGGTGTTGTCCAGGGCAGACTGTCCAGCAGCGTGGGTTTGGGGGCCCTGGGGCGGGCTGGTGTTGAAAGGAAGCACAGAAGTGCTCAGCACAGTCCTGAGTGCTGGATCCTTTTCCAGGGCAGGCTGGGCCCCCGGCCCTCTGCCTCCCCTCCTCCTTGGCAGCCCACGGTGCTCCCCGGGGGCCCCACGCTCCTCAGGCCCGGGTCTGCCCAGAGATCACCTGCGGGGGAGTGCCTTCTCCAGAGAGAAGGTGCCAGGACCCCTGGCGCCCTCCCTAGCCCCCAGTGATGCATCCTGCTGTCACACGCCTACGCGCCCCTGACCTCCCTTTCTCCCTCCAGCACTGCAACGGCGTTGACTGGCGCCAGAAGCTGGACTCACAGCGCGGCGCCGTCATCGCCACCGAGCTGAAGAACAACAGCTACAAGCTGGCGCGGTGGACGTGCTGCGCGCTGCTGGCCGGCTCCGAGTACCTCAAGCTGGGGTGAGTGTCACCCCCTCCCCCCGGGAAAGCCTGCGGGGATGGGACCTCCCCCCCCCCCCCCCACACACACACACACACACACACCCGCTCACCGCCCTCCCCGGCACCCAGGTACGTGTCCCGCTACCACGTGAAGGACTCCTCGCGCCACGTCATCCTGGGCACGCAGCAGTTCAAGCCCAACGAGTTCGCCAGCCAGATCAACCTGAGCGTGGAGAACGCCTGGGGCATCCTGCGCTGCGTCATCGACATCTGCATGAAGCTGGATGAGGGCAAGTACCTCATCCTCAAGGACCCCAACAAGCAGGTCATCCGCGTCTACAGCCTGCCCGACGGCACCTTCAGCTCCGACGAGGACGACGACGAGGAGGAGGAAGAGGAGGAGGAGGAGGAAGGTGCGTGGCCCGTTTCTCGGACGGGGGTGGATGGGTGGATGTAGGCTCGGGGACCGCGTGGCCCTGGGGGGGCGGGAACCTGAGGGTTCCCCGAGCCGGTTGCCGGGGATCAGGGCAGGGTGGAGGCGAGGCTGGCGCAGGGAGAAGCGTCCAGGAGGGTCCCCAGTGGCCCTGCTACACCAGCCACGTGACAAGAAGCACCCGCCGCCCCGGGTGGGGTGGGGAAGCCCCGAGCACCCCCCCATTCAGGATCCCAGGAGAGTGGAGGAAGTAACTCGACTCTGAACTCTTGTGTCTTGCAGAGGAAGAGGCGTAAAGCGGGTGACGAGTGGAGCCGCCATCTGTCACTCCACCCGGTCGGCCCGGTGGGGTAACTGGTCTGATTCTTGCTCTCCGGAGCTGAGCAGAAGAATAAAGAGAGTCTATTTAGCCTCTTCCGGTGAATGGTGTCCGTCTGGCGCCTGGAGGTGGAAAGGCAGCGTTCTCTCTCGAGTTCCCCCTGACCTCCCAGCACTAACCCCTGAGCACGGTGACTTTTACATTCCCGTGTCCTAGATTTGGGGAACCCACGGGAGGGCCCCCCAAGAAGTCCCATTTCCACCTACACGTGTGCACGCTGCTAGCTGCACAAACAGATCCTGGAAAGAGACACCACCGGCCACCCAGTCATCGGCGTGGGGGTGGGTGGCCACTCACAAGACGCTCCCCAGATTCCAGCGGGGTTTTCACTGGGCAACCTTTGTGGTTGTGAGTTGTTTGCAGGCTTCACCCAGGCGTGTCCCTCAGAGCTGGGACACGCAAAGCAAAGGTTACATGAGCGCTACTGGTGCGCGTAAGGATAGTGTGTGGGGCCAGAACCGGAGTACAGCAGGGAGGGCACTTGCCTTGCATGTGGCTAATTAGGTTTGATTCCTAGCACCTCACATGGTTCCACAAACTACCAGGACTGATCCCTGAGCACACAGCCAAGAGTAAGTCCTGAGAACCGCAGGATATGGCCCAAATACCAAAAATAAAAAGAGATGGTACAAGGGTTAAGGTCCTTGCCTTGTATGTGGTTGACCTAGGTTCCATCCCTCACACTGCATATGGTCCCTTGTACACTGGTGGTATGGTCAGGACTGAACCCCCCAAAATAATGGGGCGGCATGCTATTCTTGCTGCCAAGTATAATTACCCTGCCAGCTACTGTTCTTTCTGTAAACAACCTGTCAAATGCTAATGGGAGTGAGGCCTTCCTATAGAGGGGACAAGGCCCAACTCGGAACACTGCTGTAAATTAACCTCAAATGGTTGAAATGAAAATGTCAAAGCAACCGAACCCCAGGAAGAAGCAGAAGCTTAATGGGTTTTGTCTGAGGCAAAAGCATCAGTCAAGGCTTGAGTTTCTAGCGGGCCAGAAAGACAGTACAGGAGGTGGGGTCTTGCCTTGTGTCCCACCAAGCCGGGTTCAGACCCCTAGCAAGACCAGGAAGTGTGGCCGATTGGAAAGAAGGTGCAGGTGAAGATACTCAAGGCATCCAGCAGAGGGCTGCAGTGATAGCACAGTGGGTAGGGCATTTGCCTTGCACGTGGCCAACCCAGGTTCGATTCCCAGCATCCCCAGAAGTAATTCCTGACTGCAGGATCCGGAAGTAACCCCTGAGCATGGCCAGGTGTGACCCAAAAAGAAAAAAAGACAACCAGCAGGATCCTGGGCACTGTGGGCGTTGCATCCAATGCTCTCAGCCATGCAGCAGCTCCCCCTGGCTTCATTCCTGGCTCCCCAGCACCTTCTTGCTTTTGGCCTTGGAGTTGCAGCACACGGTTCTGGCTCAGCCCACGCTCAGGGCCCCAGCATCCAGAACTCACGCTAAGTGAAAGTCATTGAGTGACTTGCCCGCCGCCTGGCTTGTTTTTTCCATAGTCACTGCCAGCTTAGGTTTTGATTGTCCTGCCCAGCCGGTCTGGTTCATGGTTACACATTGAGGATCCAGAACCAATCAGACGGTTTCTGCTCTGCTAGATTCTCTCCGAGGCTGACCAAGGCGCCAAAGAAAATATTAGGCAGCACCCTCCGTGCATACTGAGCCGAGCCTCAGGGCTCAGGAAGACAGGACCGTTCCAGGGACAGTTTCTGAGAAAAGGTCATTGTGGGATGCTGAAAGGAAGATCGCTCTTTCTTATTTTGGGAGCACACTCGGCAGTGCTCATGGGTTACTTCTGGCTCTACACCCAGGAGTTACTCCTGGCAGTGCTTGGGGGACCCTATGGGATGCCGGGGATCCAACCCGTGTCAGCCACAGGCAAGGCAAACACCCTACCTGCTGGAATATCGCTCCAGCCCTGGAAGATCATTCTTTCCAGGCAATGTCACAGGCCTGGACAGGCCTGTCCTTCCATCAGAGCCCTCGGTCACACCTCACTGGGGCCCATGATGTCTCTAGAAGGGGCTGCGCCTGTCTGTCCTGACAAATCAGCTTCCATCCAGACCATAGGGAGGGCAGTTTAGAATCCAACAGTCCTTGTCACTGCTTCAATCTCAGGTCAATTCACACCTTTATGCCAGCCTTTCAGGGGCCACTTGGTTTGCTTCACTCAGCCCTTCTGTTTAAATACCTGTCCCGGGTATAAAACAATGTTTTCAAAGAGTTTATAACTTGGAGTAAAAAGGGGTGGGGTTATTCCAGCTTCTTATTAATTTACTGAAGGCAACCTTGGCAGTTCCTGGGGGCTCATGAAGTGTCAGAAGTGGAAACCCCAAAACAGACATAGAAAGATTGCACTCATCTGTGGAATATAAAGTAACAGAATAGGAGACCCAAGAATAGTAGAGATAAGGACCAGGAGATTTGCCGTATGGCTTGGAAGCCACCCTCACATGCTGGAGGAAAAGGCAGCTCAGACAGAAAGGAACACCGAATAAAGGGTGCTGGGAGAAGCTCTCGGGTTGGGAGCTGCCGAAAATAGGCTATAGACTGAACACTCAATACCACGGCCACTCAATATCTCTATTGCAAACCACAATACCCAAAAGGAAAGAGACAACAAAAGGGAATGCCCTGCCACAGAGGCGGGGTGGGGAGGGGGAGGAGGTGGGAGGGTGGGAGGGATACTGTGATCATTTGTGGTGGAGAATGGGCACTGGTGGAGGGATGCGTAACCGATCACTGTATGACTGAAATGCAAACATAAACGTTTGTAAGTAGGTAACAGTACCTCACGGTGAATCACTAATTAAAAAAAAAAAAGCGGAACCCCAAAATCCCACAGGGAAAGCCCGTGCACAGCAGCTCTAACTTTTGTTGTTTTCGTTTTGGGGCTGCACAGTGGTGGGGGGAGCTGTTCCCACCTCCAGGCTCAGGGGCCAGCCTCTGCGGCAATCTGGGCATCATACACAGTGCCCTCAAGAAAACCTGCCGTTTGCAAGGCAAGGAGCTTAACCCTCTTTCTAGCTCTCTAGCCCTGCTACCACTTAGCAACGTTAGCAAATCATCCCATCAGCCGCCTTTGCTCTGTCAACCACAGAATGTGGGTAACCTGCCTACCTCTGCGGATGGATCGGTGAAGTATGTATATTACTAAACACTTCATCTCTGCTCACTGGCTTCCGGCCCCGATTCCGGCAAACTAGGCAGCTCCCAGCTGCTATTAATGTAATGTAATACCAGCATTACACCGTTATTGGAGACGGGCATCTCCCCGGTCTCTCCTATGGGCGCAGAGGCACAGCGCTCAAAGAGGTGCCGCACGCCCCAGCTCAGCTCTGCCAGCCCGGCTTAAGCATCCCGGGCAGGCACGTGCGCGCCTCTCACGCGCCGCCAGCGTCCCGCCTGCTCCCGCGTCCCGGCGTGCCCCGCGCCCACTGCCATTGGCCGAGCGGCTGGGAAAGGGGCGGGGCCAGATGACAGTGAAAGGGGTGGAGCCGGCGCAGGAGCGGAGCCGGGCAGCAGGGGGCGGAGCCTAGAAGCAGGGGCGGAGCCTGGCAGCAGGGGGCGGAGCCGGGCGGCAAGGGGAGCGGAGCCGGCGGCAGGGGCGGGGCCTGGTGGCAGGGGCGGGGCCGGAGGCAGGGGGCGGGGCCGCACGGCGCGAGCCAGTTGAGCGCCGCGGCCTTTGCACTGGCGGCCCCCTCGGGATCCCCTGGACGCCGGATCCCCGAGCAGGGACCGGCCGACAGGCGGGCGAGGGCTCCGCTCACGCGAGGGGAGCGGCTCCCGGAGGACGCGCGCGGGCAGGACGGCGGCCAGACCCACGCACGCAGCGGCGGCAGCTGCAGCTGCAGCAGCAGCAGAGAGCAGGTGTGCTGGGGGGCATCCTGGTCACGTGCCCGCAGAGACCCCAGCACTTGGGGGTCGGGGGTGGGGCGGTACCCGTGCAGGCCAAGTGGGGCATCTCCAGTGGCTAAAGAGATTCACCCCGAGGAGGGGGGCTTAGTGTCTAGCCTGGGGGAGTGAGTACCCTGCAGAGGGGATGGGCGGGTACCCTGCAGTGGGTACCCTGCAAGGGGGGGGGGGGGGCCTTGGTGTCTAGTCAGGGGGAGTGGATACCCTGCAGAAGGGACGGTACTCGGGAAACACCCTCATTTCTTAAGGGAGCTGCCTCCGTGCTGGGAGGATCGAGGCCCGGCGGGAGATGGAAGAGGATCAGAGTCCCGATTCTGAACTTGCAAGGATGGAAGCAGGACCCTGAGCCCAGAGGCGTCCCGGGCCAGGGGTGCTGCGGACCACCGCCTGCAAAGCTGCTTTCTTGTCTCCGCGGGCACCTCTCCCGGGTCCCCAAGCATCCCCGTCTGCGGGGCCTCAGGATGGGCCTCTCGGCCTCAGCCCCGCTCTGGGGGCCCCCGGGGTTGCTCCTGACCGTCGCCTTGCACCCGGCGCTGTCCCCGCGCCCCAGCGAGGCCTCGGCCTCCCCTCCCCGGGACTACTGCGTGCTGGGCGCGGGGCCGGCGGGCCTGCAGATGGCCTATTTCCTGCAGCGGGCCGGCAGGGACTACGCGGTGTTCGAGCGCGCCTCGCGCCCGGGCAGCTTCTTCACGCGGTACCCGCGCCACCGCAAGCTCATCAGCATCAACAAGCGCTACACGGGCAAGGCCAACGCCGAGTTCAACCTGCGCCACGACTGGAACTCGCTGCTCAGCCACGACCCCGCGCTGCTCTTCCGCCGCTACTCCGACGCCTACTTCCCCGACGCCCGCGACATGCTGCGCTACCTGGACGACTTCGCGCGCCGCCTGCGCCTCCGCGTCCTCTTCGACACCGACATCGCCCACGTCACGCTGGACAAGGATCGGGCGGCCTGGAATGGCCACTACTTCGTCCTCACTGACCGGAAGGGCCAGGCACACCGGTGCAGGTAAAGGACCAGGAGCAGGGCCGGATAGTAGGACGGCGGGCAGGGTGTTTGCCTTGCATGTGGCCGACCCCAGTTAGATCCCGGCATCCCATAGGGACCCCCCCACCCCGACCCCCAGCACTACCAGGAGTAATTCCTAAGCGCAGAGCCAGGAGTAAGCCCTGAGCATCGCCAGGTGTGACCCAAAAAGCAGGGCTGGGGGCTGGAGGATAGCACAGCAGGTAGGGCGTTTGCCTTGCATGTGGCCAACCCAAGTTCGATCCCAGCATCCCATAGGGAACCCCCTGACCCTCAGCACCACCAGGAGTAATTCCTAAGCGCAGAGCCAGGAGTAACCCCTGAGCATCGCCAGGTGTGACCCAAAAAGCAGGGCTGGGGGCTGGAGTGATAGCACAGCAGGTAGGGCGTTTGCCTTGCATGTGGCCAACCCAAGTTCGATCCCAGCATCCCATAGGGAACCCCCTAACCCCCAGCACCACCAGGAGTAATTCCTAAGCGCAGAGCCAGGAGTAACCCCTGAGCATCGCCAGGTGTGACCCAGAAAGCAGGGCTGGGGGCTGGAGCAATAGCACAGCGGGCAGTGCAGGGCGTTTGCCTTGCACGCGGCTGACCCGGGTTTGATTCCCAGCATCCCATATGGTTCCCTGAGCACCACCAGCGGTAATTCCTGAGTGCAGAGCCAGGAGTAACCCCCGTGCATCTCCAGGTGTGACCCAAAAAGAAAAAAGAGAAAAAAAACAGGGCTGAAGCTCACCCGGGAAAGGCTAGTGACAGGTAACGGGGGGAGGGGATGGTTATGCGGGTACAGTTGGACGTGGGTAGAAGTGGAGAAAAAAGAGCGGTTATATCTTTTGGTTTGGGCCTCCCACCCGCACCCCACCCCAGGACTGCTCAGGGCTTACTCCTGGCTCTGTGCTCAGGAATCCCCACTCGTGGTGGGATCTGGGATCCTTTGGGATACCGGGTAGTCAAACCCTGGTCGGCAGTGTGCAAGGCAAGTGCCCTATCCGCTGTACTGTCACTCCTACCCCTCAGGGATTACCCTTGGTGGGGCTCAGAACCATATGGGGTGCGCAAATGAAACCCATATCTGTGGAGTGCAGGACAAGTTCCCTACCCATTGCATTATCTCCTGAGCCTCATTTTGTGGGGGTGGAAAGGGGTTGGTCTCAGGGTTCACACCTGCTCAGGGGACCATGCAGTGGCAGGGATGAAACCCGGGCTCCCACATGCCCTTCGAGCTCCGTGACTCCGCGGTCCTGGTTTCCTTCAGGACTCGGCAGCCTGGACAGGGTGGCAGGTCCCAGAGCACCAGCCCCTGCCCCCTGCTCCGGGCGACTCAGCCCCTTCCCTCTGTCACCCCCCCCCATACACAGGGTCCTGTTTGTCGCCACTGGTTTGTCTGTCCCCAATCTGGTCGACTTCCCCGGCTCCGAACACGCAGAGGGGTACGAGTCTGTATCCGTGGACCCTAAGGATTTTGTGGGGCAGAACGTGCTGATCCTGGGCCGCGGGAACTCGGCCTTTGAGACGGCCGAGAGCATCCTGGGAGTCACCAACTTCATCCACATGCTGGGCCGCTCGCGCGTGCGTCTCTCCTGGGCCACGCATTACGTGGGTGACCTCAGGTAAGCTCCCCGCTCCACCCCCACCCCCCCATTGAGTGGGTCCGGACCCCCACGGGGCCGCCTGTGCCCGAGCGGCTGGGACATAGACCTCTCCCTCTCCCGGGACACAGGGCCATCAACAACGGCCTGCTGGACACCTACCAGCTGAAGTCCCTGGACGGCCTCCTGGAGTCAGACCTGAGGGACCTAGCCCTGGTCAAAGACCGCGATGGCAAGCTCCACGTCACACTGCGCTTCTTCCTGGAGGGGGCCAACCAGAGCGCCGAGGCCATCCCCCTCCCCCAGGACGACAGCGACAACTTCGCCCTGCGCGTCGCCTACGACCGTGTCATCCGCTGCCTCGGCTGGAACTTCGACTTCTCCATTTTCAATCAGTGAGTTGGACGGGGCCGCCAGGGGCCTGGAGCAGGGTCTCAGAGCCAACCCTGCCTGATGCCTCCTCCGGGAGCGGGGGGGAACTGAGGCACTTCCCAGGCGCCGGTTCAGGAGTGCTCCCTCTCGTGTCGGGGGCCTCCTGGCTTCTGACACCCTCCAGCCGGAAGAGCTGGGTCCAACCAAACAGGATGCGTTTGCAGAGAACTCGTAACTGAGCCCTCAAGGCCCACTTTGCGGCTCAGATGGGGGTCCTGGTTTTGGGGGGTTGGTTTGTTTTGGAGTTTGGACATATCTGGTGATTCCTCTCCCGAATCCTGTTGGCTCTATGCTCAGGGGTCGCTCCTGGCAGGGCTCAGGGGATCACCGTCAGGTATCTGGGAATCTGGGGTGCCTGGCATCAAATCAGAGTTGGCTGCATGCAAGGTAAATGCCGAACCCTTGTACTATTTTGGCTGCTCGGCATTTTCTCATGTTTGTATTTTGGGGTGAGAAGTCAAACCTGATGGTGCTCAGTGCTTACTCCTCACCCTGTTCTCAAGAATCACTCCTGAGGGCTGGAGCGATAGCATAACAGGGAGGGCATTTGCCTTGCACGCGACCAACCCGGGTTCAATTCCCAGCATCCTGTATGGTCCCCCCAAGCATCACCAGGAGTAGTTCCTGAGTGCATGAGCCAGAAGTAACCTCTGTGCATCACTGGGTGTGACTGGAAAAAAAAAAGAATCATTCCTGGTGGGGTTCAGGGGACTATCTCCTGTGCCAAGAATCAAACCCAAGCAAGCAAGCGCCCAGCTCTCTGGCCCATCACATGCATTGTTGGGGGCTGGGGACCTGGCTTTTTTTTGGGGGGGAGGTCACACCCAGCAATGCTCAGGGGTTCCTCCTGGCGCTGCACTGAGGAATCACTCCTGGCAGTGCTCAGGGGACCCTATGGGATGCTGGGAATTGAACCTGCGTCAGCCATATGCAAGGCAAATGCCCTCCCCGCTGTGCTATCACTCCAGCCCATACCTGGCTTTATGCTTAAGAACTATCTAAGTTCCAGATAGTTCGGGGCCAGAGAGATAATAGTAGGTGGGGAGAGCGTTTGCCTTGCACGGAGCTGACCCAGGTTCAAGCCCCAGCACCCCTCTGGGCCCCCAATCCCTGCAAGGAGTGATCCCTGAGCAAAGAGCCAGGAGTAAGCCCTAAACTCAGAAGGAAGGAAGAAGGAAGAAAGGGAGGGCAGGTTTTACCCTGTGGGTCACCATCTCTAGATATTACTGCCCCAGGACCTTTGCCAAACAGACTCTGCCAGCACCGCCCTGCCTCATTCACCCCAGTCTACCACCCCCGTGTGCCGTGGCCCTGTTGAGCCCAGGGGATGAGAGTGGTGCCTGCAGCGGGTTCTCTCTGCCCCTCTCCACCCCCAGGTCCCTCCGCCTCTCTTCCGAGGGTGAGCTCAGTAAGAAGTACCCCCTCGTCAGAGCCAGCTACGAGTCCCGAGGAACCCGGGGCCTCTTTGTACTGGGCACGGCCAGCCACTCGGTGGATTACAGGAAGTCGGCCGGCGGTTTCATCCACGGCTTCCGATACACAGGTGAGTGGAGGGAGACCCCATCCCTGGGAATGTCGTGGAGGGCACCACAGCCAGCAGCACCCCCAAATGCAGAGGCACATCTCTTCATCCATCTGCCCACAAGACCCCAGCACTTTTCCTCTCCTCTCGGGATTCATCCCACCCTTCCCGGCTGCCTGCGCGTCGAGAGGTGACGCTGAGCAGGGTGGACCAAATCGGGGACAGAGTGTGGCGTGTTGCCAACCGCATTGCCCACGGGGTCTGTGGGCAGCCTTGGCTGTGTATTCCAAGAAATAAATACGAAACCCACGGCTCTCTCTCGCCGCCTGCGTTCGGTGGTCTCGGGCCACTTCCCCCACCCCGGGGCGGCCGATGGCAACGGGCAGACAAAGGAGGAAATGAAGGCCAAGATGGTTGGTCTCAATTGCAGTTTATTCCAATCTCATCTCTGTTCTCTCCTGATTCTCCTTCCCCTCCCCACCATGCCCCTCCATCCTTCCTCTTTTTTTTTTTAAAGGAAGTGGAGGAGGCAAGAGTTTTATTTGGGCTGGAGCGATAGCACAGCGGTAGGGTATTTGCCTTGCACGCAGCCAACATGGTCAACCTGAGTTCGATTCCTCCGCCCCCTCGGAGAGCCCTGCAAGCTACCAAGAGTATCTCGCCCGCACGGCAGAGCCTGGCAAGCTCCCCGTGACATATTCGATATGCCAAACACAGTAACAACAAAGTCTCCAATGGAGACGTTACTGGGCCCTCTCGAGCAAATTGATGATCAACGGGAGGGTCTTTACCTTTTAGGGCTGGAGCGATAGCACAGCAGGTAGGGCGTCTGCCTTACAAGCGGCCAACATGGCCAACCTGAGTTCGATTCCTCCGCCCCACTTGGAGAGCCCGGCAAGCTACCGAGAGTATTCGATATGCCAGACACAGTAACAACAAAGTCTCCAATGGAGACGTTACTGGGCCCGCTCGAGCAAATTTTTTGCTTTTTGGGTCACACCCGGCGATGCACAGGGGTGACTCTGGCTCTGCACTCAGGAATTACTCCTGGCGGTGCTCAGGGGACCATATGGGATGCCGGGAACTGAACCCCGGTGGACTGCATGCAAGGCAAACGCCCTCCCCGCTGTGCTATTGCTCAAGCCCCACTATCCTTCCTCTTGGATTCTGTTCCCTCATCCTTCTTCTGGATCGCCCTTGATTCCCAACCTTAGTTATCTCTCCAATCCATGAGGGGGTTGGGTTTGCAATCACACGTAGGTGTCATCATACAATCATTGGATGTAAGGTCCCTCCCTCAGGAGAAGCTTCCTCCAGGACAAACTCTCATCCAGCAAGAAGACCCACCTGAGGGCGAAATACCATCTATGGGTGCATTTCTCCTATTCTTAGTCCAACAACCATTTAAACATTCATCTTAGTTCTACTCCTTAGTAATGTTAGTCATTTTGTATGGACATAATAAGAGATACATTAAGCTTATAGGGTGACTCTCCTGGGGACATCTTGCTATTGATCTCAGGCTACAGTGCTCCGGCCAGATTACTCTTTCCGAACCCTAGTAGGGTCCTGATCCAGTTGTTACTCTTTGGGTCATGACAGAATTTATCCATGACTGTACTCTTAGAGTTAAGTAGTATGGCACTTGAGCTGACCCATTTTGATGCCAAGGTAGCCCACAGCTTGCCCTGGGTCCATCCAGTCCCTTGTCAGGACCCTACTTTTGGGGTGCTAGGAACTAAGGGCAACTGAGGCTTAAGTCCAGAAAACAAATGCACAAAAGTGAATATTATTCGGAGTCAGTTAAATCCCAAGTCACAAAAGCATAGCATGAACTGTCTTCCTGTGTCTATACAAAAAGGACATTGCTCTGAAGTCACTATGCAAAGGATCTAAGGAGAAGAGAAGAGCAATATTTCACTTTACAAGTCATAGATACTGCTTGGGTTGGAGCGATAGCACAGTGGTAGGGCATTTGCCTTGCACGCAGCCAACATAGCCGATTCAAGTTCGATTCCTCCGCCCCTCTTGGAGAGCGCAGCAAGCTACCGAGAGTATCTCACTCGCATGGCAAAGCCCGGCAAGCTACCCGTGACGTATTCGATACGCCAAACACAGTAACAAGTCTCGCAATGTTACTAGGCCCACTCGAGCAAATCGATGAACAACGGGAGGACAGTGACAGTGACAGGTACTGCTTAGGGGGAAATGGTGATCGACCGGTTGGGGAAGCAAAGCACAGAGAAGGGAGTCACAGATAAACACAGAGGACTGTGAGTGCCTCAGGAGCACTGTGATAAACCTTTGTTCCCCGTGGCAAGGGGGACAGGACTTACCAATGTTATCCTACACTTGGCCGCGAACATTCCATCAGTGGCGCTGATTTCCAGAAAGCGCTGGGTGCTCCGGGTCCCAGCATGCAGGTGCCAGCCCCACCCCACCCCCGCCTCCCTCTTCCCAGCTCGCGCCGTGCACCGGCTCCTGGAACATCGCCACCATGGCCTGGCCTGGCCGGCCACCCAGCTCCCCATCACCCAGCTCTGCAGTGCCATCCTGCGGCGTGTGAATGAGGCATCGGGGCTGTACCAGATGTTCGGGGTGCTGGCCGACATCGTCCTGCTCCAGGAGTGAGTAGTCCGTCCTGCCTCACCTGCCCCTCCTGGTCCAGGTGTGGGAGAACTCACCGTTCCCCCTGGGAGGAGCCCCTGGGGGAGGGCAGGGAACCTCGGGAGAGAGCACTGGAGTCCAAGCACCTGCTCTGCAGGGGCCCTGGCGTGGTCTGGGTTCCGCTTTCCCACAAATCCCCCCCCCATGTGATGTTGGGCCTTCAGCTGGCCTCTCTGGGTCGTGCTCAGGCTGACCCTGCCCTGCAGGCTGTAGGAGGGGACACTGGTCACCCTGGGGAGCACTGGGAGACAAGTAGTGAGGCCCGGAGTGGTGGGCATGGCTGGAACATTCTCCCGGCAGGACCTCGTGGGCTTTTTTTTTTTTTTGCTTTTTCGGGTCACACCCAGCGATGCTCAGGGGTTCCTCCTGGCTCATGCACTCAGGAATTACTCCTAGTGGTGCTCATGGGACCATATGGGATGCTGGAAATCGAACCCGGGTCGGCCGTGTGCAAGGCAAATACCCTCCCCGCTGTGCTATCTCTCCAGCCCACCTTTTGGGCTTCTGGCCAGTCAGGTGGGCTGTGGGTGGCTCCCCTGGGAGCTCTTGTGCCCCCCTGGCCCCCCACCCCCCTCCCCATCTATCTGCATGCCCTTTGCACCAGGAATGCCACCACATTCGAGTACCTGGAGGAGTTCCCCGTGCAGATGCTGGCCCAGCTGGAGTCGCTCACGGGCCGGCGGGCCCCACACGGGCTCCTGGTCATCGTCATGGAGTACGGCCGCAACTTCTCAGGCCCCGACAAGGATGTCTTCTTCCCCGACCGCTCCGTGGGGCACACGCAGGATGCCTGGCAGTCCAACTTCCTCCACCCTGTCATCTACTACTACCGGCAACTACCCACTGGTGAGCCGGTGGCCCTGGCACCCGCTTTCGGCACACTGGGCACTGTTCAACCCCCCATGTGACACTCAGCCAACATCTGGGCCCAAAGGAAGAAGGGGTGCGGGGATGGGGAGGGGGTTCCACTCTGCCCACTGACCACATGGGGCAGCCGGTCTGAGAGTAGTGAGGTCCCCTAGGGTCTGAGGCCGGCCTCACCTAGGCCAGCTACATCGGAAAAGCTGCAGTATCTTGGCCTATTGGAAGGTGCATGGGAAGGGTCCCGTCAGAGGAATGGTCAGCAGGGAGACAGGGCTCCTTCCCTAACCATGCAACCTGTCTCCAAGCCTCCACGTCCTCCTGTCCAGGGCTGCTGAGAGCAGGAGCCTCCGTCATGGACCGGGTCGGCAGGGCCAAGGAAGGGACCCCAACTTGGGTGTGTGTGAGGGTCAGGTGCAAGCCAGTGGCCAGGCTCTGGACGGAGCCCAGGGCCACCATCTGAGTTGCCCAGGAGGGCGATGGTGTCTCACTGGGACCCCTGAAGAGGGCATCCATGCCTGGGGGTTCGAATGCGCACCCCGGAACTCTCCAGAATGACCAGCTTGGAGGCAGCCGTGACTAAGCTCAGGAGTCTTGGCACAGCACACACCCAGGGTCCTCCACCAAGCAGAGGGAGGGAGATTGGCGATCTTTTCCCATGTGGGCTGAGCCTGGCTGCTCCCTGGTGCCCGGCGTCAGACTTCCTGGTTTTGGGACCAAGACAGCCATGCAGGGGTGTGGGGAGGAGGGAGGCATGGAAACAGAGCCCCGCTGGGAAGCGCCACCTCCCGGGCCTGACTCGGCTCCGTGTGGGTCCCCCAGAGCAGGAGGTGAGGTTCCGGCCTGCACAGTGGCCGCTGCCCCGGCCCGCAGCCATCCACCACATCGTGGAGGACTTCCTGACAGACTGGACTGCCCCTGTGGGCCACATCTTGCCTCTGAGGCGCTTCCTGGAGAACTGCCTGGACACAGATCTGCGAAGCTTCTATGCAGGTGACCCACCTTCCCGGGGACACAGGCTGGGGGCTGCAGGAAGACCAGGTGGCCTGGCCCCGTGGGCTTGTCTTGATGTCCAGCCATGCGTTAGATCTGGGAACCAGGTTTCTCCTGCAGGTTGACCAGTTGTTCCCAGAAACACTGAAATGCCCTTTTTAACTTATTTTCAAGTCATCTTCTGTTTTTATTTATTTTGGTTTGGGGGCCACACCCGGCAATGCTCAGCCAATCCCTGGCTCTGCACTCAAGGATCACTCCTGGCAATGCTGGGGGACCATATGGGGAGCTGGGGATCAAATCCAGGTCGGCCACTTGTCAAGCAAGCATCCCATCTGCTCTACTTGGCTTATAGTCATTGTTTCCCTCACACCATGTCCCCAAGAGGAAGGACAGCCCTGGAGTGGTTTCATTTCTCCCCTGAGTACCCACAGCTGCCCTCTGACTGATCAGCCATGCCCTGAGTTCCTGCTCTGGCATTTATCAGCTCTGACCAACAGCTCCATAATTTTTTTTTTTTTTGCCTTTTGGGTCACACCCAGTGATGCTCAGGGGTTACTCCTGGCCTTGCACTCAGGAATTACTTCTGGCGGTGCTCGGGGGACCCTATGGGATGCTGGGAATCGAACTCGGGTCAGTCACGTGCAAGGCCAACGCCCTACCCGCTGTGCTATTGCTCCAGCCCCCAATTTTTTTTGGCTTTTTTTTGGGGGGTCACACCCGGCAATGCACAGGGTTTACACCTGGCTCTGCACTCAGGAATTACTCCTGGCGGTGCTCAGGGGACCACATGGGATGCTGGGAATCGAACCCGGGTCAGCCACGTGCAAGGCAAACGCCCTACCTGCTGTGCTATCACTCCAGCCCCCAAAATTATTTTTTTAAGAAGCAAAATAGTTTTTTTCTGTTATTGAATCCCTGTGAATTCCAAAGTTACTAAATTCATTGTTACTGAGTTTCATCACCTGTGTTGACCCACTTTCCTCCACCAGCAAGACAGGTTTTATTTATTTTGTTTATTAGTTGTTTTTTGTTTTTTTTGGGGGGGAGGGGCTATACCTGGCACTGCTCAGGGCTTGCTCCCAGCTCTGTACTCAGAGATCACTCACTCCTGGCAGTGCTCAGGGGACCCTATGGGGTGCCAGGAGTGAACTGCGTGGGCTGCATGCAAAGCAAATGCCCTCCCTGCTCCCCAAATAGATTTTTTTTTGTTTCTGTGTTTGATTTTTGTCCTTGGGCCACACCCAGCTGAGCTCAGGTATCACCTCCGGCAGGACCATAGGTGCTGGGGATCAAACCCAGGTCGGCCATGTGCTTGGCCAGGGTCCTACCTCTGTCCTGTGGCTCCAGACTCTGCTTTTTTTTTTTGGGCTTTTTGGGTCACACCCGGCGATGCTCAGGGGTTCCTCCTGACTCTGCACTCAGGAATTACCCCTGGCAGTGCCCGGAGGGCCATACGGGATGCTGGGAATCGAACTTGGGTCAGCCGCGTGCAAGGCAAACGCCCTCCCCACAGTGCTATTGCTCCAGCCCTCCAGACTGCTTTTCTGGTTGGTTTTTACCCTGAGGACTTGCCTTAAAGTCATCATTCCCTGCGCACCGCATCCCCAGAAGGACAGCCGGCCCGGGGGTGGGGGTTTCATTTCTACCCTGAGTACCCACAGCTGCCACCTGACTGATCAGCCGTACCCTGATTCCTGCTGTAGCATCCATCAGCCTCTGCCTGATTTCAGTGGCGGTGGTGGGTCCACACCCAGCAGTGCGTAGGGGCCAGGCCCGCTCCTGGGGCTGCCCAGGAGACTGGTCGGTGCCAAGGGTCAAACCCAAGGCTTCAGCCTGAGGGCCTGCCCTCTCCCGTGGAACCCCCCTGTCCGGCCTGGGTTTGCCCGTTTTCTCTCCAATTCCCCCATCTTTGCAGCCGGCTAGGTGGCTGTGTGCAGGTGGACGGCAAGAACCACCAACCCGGGGACTGGGAACTTTCTGCCCTTGACTGGAATCAGGACGGGGGGCTGTGGAGGGTAGTGGGCAAAGTTCTGGGTTCTGAGGCTGGAACGATAGCAAAGCGGGTAGGGCGTTGGTCTTGCATGTGGCCAACCCAGGTTCGATTCCCAGCATCCCATAGGGTCCCCCAAGCACCGCCAGGAGTAATTACTGAGTGCAGAGCCAGGAGTAACCCCTGTGCATCGCTGGGTGAGACGCAAAAAAGAAAGAAAGAAAGAAAGAAAGAAAGAAAGAAAGAAAGAAAGAAAGAAAGGAAGGAAGGAAGGAAGGAAGGAAGGAAGGAAGAAATGCTCCGGGTTCCAACGCCAGCTGCGCCCATTCACTGTTCTCCTTTGCTTGCCCTAGATTCCTGTTTCGTCTTCGCCCTCACCCAGCGGAGGCTGCCGCCCTTCTGCCAGCAGGGATACCTCCGGGCACGGGGGCTCGTGGGCACGGAAAGCCTCCAGCAACGCCGAGCAGACAGCGGGCTCCTGGGGAAAGCCAGGTGGTGGCCGGGCCGCCGTGGGCCGGCTCAACGGACCCCGGGGGCTGCCACCACCCCTGAATTCCCCCGCAAGAGCCACAAGGAGGAACTGTAGCAGATGGGCTGCCCCCTCACACACTCGGGCCTGGCTGTGACCACACCCGTGCCAGCCCAGCGTGGTGCCCAGCGTGCCCGACAGCTGGGCGCAGCTTCTGGGGAAGAGCTGTGCTAATCGGGAGTCACTTCTTCTACCTCGCCCGAGACGTAGCTGGGCACTACCAGGCAGCCTCCGTTCCGGGGGCAGCTGCCCAGGACTCCAAGCCCCCTTCTCCAGAGAGGCCAGAGTCATGGGACTGGAGCGATACCACAGCGGGTAGGGGGTTTGCCTTGCATGTGGTCGACCCGGGTTCAATTCCCAGCATCCCATATGGTATCCCCTGAGCACCGCCAGGGGTAATTCCTGAGCGCAGAGCCAGGAGTAACGCCTGGGCATCACTGGGTGTGACCCAAAACCAAACAAAACCCATAAAAAAAACCCAGAGAGTTCAGAGTCCTAGGGGTCCTGCCTGGCTGCCCACCTTGGAGCATCTTCCTCGGTATCAGAGGGGGAGGGACACCTGTATCCTTCCGGTGGCTGCCCCCAACCCCAAGGGAAGCTCAGCGAGGTAAAGGGTCCCCAGGCCCCGAGGTGCTCTCCAGCTCCTGCTCATGCCCAGAGCCCAGGCCTGCCCAGCTTCCCCCTGCTGGACCCAGACAGCCACCTCCTCTCACCCCATCTGTGTAGTTCCCCTGCTCACCACAGGTTTTCTGTGCTTTTTTCTCCTGTACCCCTATCCCGGCCCCCTCTCAGCTGGTGTCCAGCATGGACAGTGGCCCCCTGCACTGTTATCCAGGGGGGTGGGCTCTTGTACCAACTCTGCCCAGCCAGGTCTCATCACCACGTGTCGCTCATTTATCTCATGGGAATGGGGGTCACGGGGGTGAGGGGGGTACACGCTGATGCTTGGGGTGCTTGGATGCCCCTGCAGTTCCAGGGAGAAGCCCAGAGCTCCTTTCCTCCCACAGGCCATGTGCTCCAGCCCCTCAAGCCAACTCTGGGCACCAACCATCGGGCACTTTGTGTTGTTTGGGGACCACACCCAGCAGCGCTCAGGACTCACCCCGGGCTCTGCACTCAGGGATCACTCCTGGCGGTGCCTGAAGGACTCTTTGGGATGCCGAGGATCGAACCTGGGTCAACCGTGTACAAGGCAAGTGCCTTCCACGTTGGACCATTACTCCAGCTCTGCCCAGCCCCCATCTTCAACCCAGGATGAGCGAGGGGTGGCAGAGCCTTAGACGGAAACGCACCCAACCCATTCCCAGCCAATTTCACTGGGGCACCCCAGATGGATCAAGTGTAGTCTCCCCGCCCACTCCAGATGGAATCCCAGCGACCAAGAGCTTCTACAAGTAAGACCCAGGTATGCGGATTCCAGGACTAAGTCTCCAGGCCACACGACGGCAGAAGAGTCAGTCTGTCCCTCCCCAGGTCCCCATCCACTCGACACCCTGGCTCTCACGCCCACAATCTCCCTCTGGGTGCCATCCTAGCGCACCAACAGCCCTGGTCCAGAGACTCCCAATCGCTTCCCAGAATGAATCAGTGCCCTCTAGAGATGTCTCTGGAACCCAACCATTTATAATCTTAGAATTCCAGAAGCTTGCGGCTGCTTTTGTGGCCATGCGACCTCTCATGATATTCAAAATCAGCAACAGGAAATAAATTATCTAGCATCTGCCTCTGGCAGGCAGGCTTGAATGGTGGTGGGGAAATTCAAGCAAAATATAATGCCCAAAAGTAAAGACAAAGTATTGGGGAAATTGTCTGCCATAGAGGCAGGGTGAGGACTAGGATGGGGAGAATAATGGGACATTGGTGGTGGAAAATATGCACTGGTGGAGGGATGGATGGGTGGTCCATCATTTGTATGACTGCATCTCAAACATGAAAGCTTTGGAACTGAATCTCACGGTGATTCAATAAAAAAAAAAAAATGAAATGCATCTAATTCTGGCACCGCCTTCTCTCTGGTGCTCGTGCCCGCTCAGAATTCGAGGAGTCCCACTCCCACAGCCCTTCTCTGGCCCTGTCTGAAGTCCCAGAGGCGAGTGTCCCCAAGTCCAGGGGCCTGGCTGGGCTCAGCGTTTCAAGCGCTCAAAGCCCGGCGACGTCATTTTCAGCCTTCCCCGGCCTTTGTCAACAAGAAAGTCCTGATCATCGGGTCTGGGTCCACACAGCCACATGAGGCCCATCCAAGCCTCAGCACCAGTTCCCGAGGCAAGAAAGGCCACAGCTGCCGGGAACAGGGGTGCCTGGGCCCAGGATGACCACTGATGTCCAAGTAGTGTCAGAGGACACACTCCTGTTTATCTGTGCTGTGCCAGCCGCCGACAGAGCAAAATAGCCTTTCCTCCAGCCAAGATTGCAGCCACTTAGGGCTGGAGCGATAGCACAGCAGGTAAGGCATTGGCCTTGCACATAGCCGACCCAGGTTCGATTCCCAGCATCCCATACGGTCCAGGTTCGATTCCCAGCATCCTATACGGTCCCCCGAGCACCGCCATGAGTAATTCCTGAGTGCATGAGCCAGGAGTAACTGCTGTGCATCACTGAGTGTGACTCAAAAAAAAAAGCAAAAAAAAAAAAAAAAAAAAGACTGTGGCCGCTTTATCATGAGGCCCGGATCCCTGGACTTCCCTCCTCACAGGCCCCATTTGCAGAATCCGGATGCCCAGAGTCTGCTGTCTTCTGCTAGCTGTCTTTCTGTCATTTTTGTTGTTGTTGTTTGGTTGATTGGTTGTTGTGTGTGTGTGTGTGTGTGTGTGTGTGTGTCACACCCAGCGATGCTCTGGGGTTACTCCTGGCTCTGCACTCAGGAATTACTCCTGGCAGTGCTCGGGGACCATATGGGATGCTGGGAATTGAACCCAGCTTGGCCATGTGCAAGGCAAACGCCCTACCCGCTGGGCTATCACTCCAACCCCTTTCTGCCGTTTTTCGCTTGGTTACCTTGCTGCCTGCTTTGGAGCCCTTTGGCCCATCTCTTCTTCTTGCTGGACAGACCCAGTTCCCCTTCTCGCCCAGGCCGAATTTCCTTCGTGCCCTCTAAGTTACTGGGGCAGAAGGGCCGAGGGCGGGTGTGTTGAAGAGGAAGGTCTGCAGGAAAGATGAGGCAGGACCCCGTTGCTGGCCAGCGTTGGATGGGGGTTAGCGGTTTGAAAATGGAAATAAATCTCCTGTTTAGACTATTTCCTCCTACACAATTCAAATTTTGTTTTGCTTTGTTTTGGTTCGGAGCCACACCTGGAGACACTTAGAGCTTATACTCCTGAATTGCACTCAGGAATAGCTCTTAATGCTACTCAGAGGACCGTGGGCCATATGGGATGCCCTGAACCAACTGGGTGAACCACATGTCATGCAAATGCGTAACCTGCAGTGCTATCCTTCAGGCCCTTAAATACATTTTTACAGGAGGGAGGGGAAATAGATCAACCATGGAGCATTCGCCTTGCAGACAATGCAAACATTTGCTGAAAATCCTTTATTGTATTTTTATTTTATTTTATTTCATTGCTTTTTGGGTCACACCTGGCTCTGCATTCAGGAGTTACTCCTGTCGGTGCTCAGGGGACCATATGGGATGCTGGGAATCGAACCCGGGTTGGCCGCATGCAAGGCAAACGCCCTACCCGCTGTGCTATCTCTCCAGCCCCGCTAAAAATTCTTTAGAGGAGCCAGAGTAATAATACTGCAGGGGAGGCATTTGCCTTGAACCCCAACAAATCAGGTTTGCTCCCTGGAGCCCATATGATCCCCCTGAGCTCCGTCAGGAATGATCCCTGAGCACAGAGCCAGGAGTTAGCCCCTAAGCACATCCGGGAGGAGAGCAGCTGAAGTTGGGGAACTTCCACAGGAAGCCAGTGGAAAAGTTGTCCCCCCCAAGCTGTCATTTCATCCAGGGGGTCCCATCGAGAGAGCAGCCAGCATGCCCCCTTCCTCAGTCTCCATCATGGGAGCCCCAGGTCATGGTGACTTGGAGCTCACACAGGTCTGTATCACTGTAGCACTATCATCCTGTTGTTCATCGATTTTTCTCGAGCTGGTGATGCCAGTAATGTTTCCATTCGTCCTAGTCCTGAGATTTTTAGCAGCCTCTCTTTACTCGTCCTGCCCAATGGTGACCCTTTCAGGGTCAGGGGAATGAGACCCGTTATCGTTACTGTTTTTGGCATATCAAATATACCATGGGGAGTTTGCCAGGCTCTGCCATGCAGGCAGGATACTCTCGGTAGCTTGCCGGGTTCTCGGAGAGGGAGAACTAGACTATAAGAGGGCACACAGCAGCAAATGTGGTCACGCTTCTGGGAGCTTTGTTTTATAGTCTCTGGATCTTGGCCGTTGATGGGATTGCATGGTGCCGGGGGCAGTTTGTGGGTGTAACTGCCAAGCTACTGGAAGATGGGGGATCTGGGTGGAGGAGGCCCAGTCCAGATCCGAGCAGGCTTGGAGATCTCAGCCCCGGGTCCTGCATACCTGGGTTCCTCTGCTGGTTCCTTCATGCGTGAGGCTCATCAGAGCGTGTGGAGAGTGGTCTTAAGCATGGCTGTGGCTGGGTTCCAGAGGTCTTCGGCTGCCGGGGCTCTGCTTGGAGCGGGGAGGGAAACTCAACCTCCCTACCCGTCCCCCTTTGAGGGGCCCCGGTGAAGACAGCCTGGCGTGGGGGCAGGAGACTCTGCCTCTTCACACAGGTCTGAAACCTCAGATACAGAAGTGCGGATGGTTCCAGAAGGGACTAGAGAAGATCGACAGCATCACCCACAGGCACCTCAGAAAGGGGCTCACATCAGTACCAGGAGGATTACTCCATGGCTTAGAGGCCAGCCGGGCACTCTAGGGGAAAGGGCAGCTCAGATAGAGAAGGGAGCACCAAATAAAGGGTGTTTGGAGGATCCTCCAAGGAGGGGAGATACATGTTGAAAGTAGACTTTGGACTGAACATGTTTGCCACTCAATGCCTCTTTTGCGGACCACAACACCTAAAAGGAGAGAGAGAACAAAAGGGAATGCCCTGCCACAG